GTTGGGAGGAGGTTGACTTCCATGCAACTCAAGGCAGAGTTGTAAGCTGCCTTGAGTCGCCCTACGGGGTGAGAAAGGCAGGGTATAAAAGAGGCAAATAATAAATAATACTTCTAGAACTCTTGGTGTTTCTGGACAAAACCTGGAAGCACATGTGAGCATCAAAGACAGCTTGAGGGAACGAGTGGTGACCCCCATTAACTCGAATGACGTCGGCCAAAGTCTCAAGGACTGAAAGTAATGTCAAAGATATCTTGAGAACAAAACTTGAGGGACCCAAATATAGCGTCTGGCTTGTGGAGAGAGGGACAAGTTCACCAGGACATCATGCCCTTACTACTGTTATTATTACTTATTTCATGCAGAGCTTGAAAAGGTTGCTTTTGGGGCTAAAACTCCCAGAATCTTCCGAGCGTCAGGGAGTTATAGACCAGAAGGATAACATTTCCATGTTATGGTCTGAGTTTTGACACATGAGGGTACCCACTTCCTGCCAGCACTCATGCTGTCCGCTGCCCTGGTTTCGGTTTTGCTTCATAGTAGATCACCACTGAATTATCATGCAGTGATCCGTACTGCAGCCACCACTTCCTCTCCCGCCACTCCAAAGCATTATGAGTAAAAGATATGGCACCCATTGTTGGGCAGGTACAGTTCCTACAGTCCTCCACCCATTTAGCCCACTTTTATGCTCCCTCCAAACCACTGAAATGGCCCCTTGCAACTCTGTAGCCTGTGAACAGGATGGCAAAGATGTATGGAGGGGTGATTTAGCTCACTTGCAAGTAATACGCACTGCTGGCATCCATTAACCTTGTCTTGTGTTTTCTTGTACATGCTTTGGAGCTGATATGAATCCAAGTATTGTTGAGGCTACATTCATGTGCATTTTTGTGTGCAAGAATGATATCCAAGAAGGATTTGGAACCCAGGAGGATGATGGCAGTCCATTTTGGTTCCATGGGGTCCTTGCCTTCTTAAGTCACTGTCAGGTTACACATGCGCCCATCAAGGCATCTCTCTTCACATTAAGATTTGCTGCCAAATATGGGCAGCCCACCTCTGTTGAAATGTATTGTGTCTTGAGGTGATAGGAAGCCTCCAGGGACAGATGATCATCATGGCTCTTTCGCACAACCAATATATCCCCTTCACCAGATGTGGCCAGATGAGGTGGTAGAATGAACCTTCAGGCAGCAGAGCAGATGATTCTACTTGGGGCACATGGACCTTTAGGTCCCTTATTTTTGACTATGCTGCCTGGAGCTATTGGGATGTGGAGTTCATCATCTGGAGGATGACCCATTTCATACCCCTGGCTGTTTTAGGGAAGAGCTCTTTAGCTCCGTAGATCATAGACATTCAGTTGTCCCTTACCCTGCTGAAACTGCCTCTTTGTCACAGGTGGAACTGGTGCAGGGGCCCTACCAACGCTAGAGTGGCCAACTCTTGCTGCCACTATAGAACATGGCGAACTGTAGATGGTGTGTAAGCCAAGCTTCAAAGCTGTTCCAGATTGTTGTTGTTTTTTTTTCAAGGTTTTTAGAACTCCCTCTGTACAAAAGCATGGCTCATGATGCAGAATGATTCTTGCTCCTCATTAAAAACACCCTCCAACTCTCATTTCTGGAGAAAACTACAAGAAACTGCATATCAGGCAGACAAGCTCTGGTTCCACCTACTTGCAGGAGAACGGTTTTGTTCCATGGGATTTTTTTAAACCTAACCTACTACTCCTGCTATAATCAAATGTGGTCATCTTCTCTACTGCCTCAGGATTCTACCGCTTCATTCTGCTCCGTGTGTCGATGCACAGTCAGTTGTGACAGATACGGAGCTGATCCTTATGTATGTGTAGTTAAGGCTACCACCTTCCCTGGCCACGTCTGATGGGTGCAGCTTATGAAAACATGTGCCACAAAATACCAGCGGTTGTCTTAAAAAGGTGGGGAGAGAGTCAAAGGAGTCACCGCACAACTTGGGCTCTTTTGTCTTTGTTGGGCTAGATGAGGGGGGCTGTTTGGCCTCTCGCTTCAGTGAGATATTTGCAAGAGAGTCGGGGGAGACGTGCCCGATGGGAGCATGCGTGGGCCCCTCAAGTTCAGCCGAGGGGGGTGACCTTGTAGGGAAGGCAGCATCACTGACTTAAGCAGCTTTCTGGTCAATCAGTAGCCAATGTGTTTGTAACAATCATGTGCCTTAAACTTTTCTTGTTGGGGGTGGGATGGGAGAAAGTCACCCAAATCCAAAAACAAAACAAAAATTATTTAAAATTATATAAAAATTTAGATCAACAATGTGTGTTTCTGTACTCCTCCTCAACATTATCACTGTTGTTTTTGACCGAGATTGGGGGGGGGGGGGGGGGGGGGCCGGGGGGGGCGTTCCTTTTGCATTGTATTTAACACTGTACTATAAACAGACCGGTTTGGTTTTAAGACTAAGGGAGGGGTGGGAGGTGGATTATACTTTCACAGAACCAATGTTTAACATAACCCGAATGTATTAATATTATTCTAGGAACTTTCCGTAACACAGACAAGTAGAATGCTTGTTGAAGCCAGGTGTGTAGGTTAACAATTTGATGTGTTTTCAATAAACGATGCCTGGAATTAATTCATGTGTTCTTGGTTATTTTGATTGTGTCTCGGTGGAATCTTTGGCTTGGGATTCTGGTCCCTAGGAGGGAAAAGAGGGCTGTTCTGAGTGATATTTGGTGTTCCTTCCAGAAGCATTCCTATATCATTCCTCTGACTTGGGGCTGGGCACAAAGAGGCCAGGAGTTGGACAGGCAGCGAAACCCAATCCCCTGGTGGTGTATCTCCAGTTGTGCCTGTCAGGTTATTCACTCACTTTGACTCTACATTATTTGAGAACCTCTGTTCTTGTAGACCAGAACTTTCCAAACTGTGTCTTGCAACACATTTGTATATCGGCTGCAGGGTGTCACAAAAGGTACGGAGTAGTAGCTCATCCCAGGTCACAATTCAGTAGAAGCTTTCAGCACAGGCTAAGATTAATGTTCTGCACATAGTTTCCTTTTACTTTTTATGTTGTGTTCCGTTCATTTCCTCATTACAATTTATGTATGTGTCTGTATCCCTCAGAAGGGGTTGATTTAACCAGTAAAACTGGATGACTGTGTCATGAAGTATGCATGTCTAAAAAGGTGTGTCACCAACATGAAGTGCTTGGATAGCTCTGTTGCAGACCTTAGTTTCTACCTGCTCTGCAAGAGCCCACCTGTTGTTGACTGCCGTGAGCTGACCCCCTCTGTTCTCAAGCCTTTTATGCTTCCAGGGTCTCCAGCGATTGTGTCCCTGCAAACAAGAGCCAAGCAATGACTTCCAAAGAGAACAGGAGCCCTTCTGCTGGGGGCGGGGGCAGCCATGGAGCTGAGTGCAAGCTGGGCTCACACCAAAACTGCTTTGGGCAGTTTCAAATAAAGGTCAGTCTAGGAAACAGCCTGTCATTACAGGTGCAGTCATGTTTCCTTTCCACAATATTTCCCCTTTGAGACATTTCTGCTGGACTTCTATGTGACCACTGCATATGTAATGGGGTTGCTATGCAATGGGTTCTGGTCTAAGCCCCCCCCCCCCCCCCGGGGCAACCCCACTTGCCAGTAAGCTTATGCGAAGTAGGGTTTAGGAGACTTCCACAGTTACGCTGCACTTGCAAGATTCCTTCCTTCATTTGTGATCTAATGAACAGGTGACTTTATCTCGTTCTCTGAAAGAACAGGCTCTGAAGACAGATACACTTTCTAAAGAAAGTGTGATAATTTCTAACAGGCTCATGAGGAGAGCGATGTTGAGAGAAAAATACGAAAGAGATGCAAACCACACACTGAATGGGATCTTCTTTTGGTCCTTGCTATACATCAAGATGCTTTGCTGTGTCCCTTATTTTTCCTTTTCAGATGCACTAACATGGCCATGAGCCAGAGCTGCTGCCAGGGAATCACAGACCTAAAGCAAATACGGTATTTCTGCCTCATGACCTTTTAGAGCTGTCAGAATCACTTGGTTTGGAGCTCATCACAGTGCAAGTATATTGGAGAATGGAGTCCAAGCAGTCAAAGGTTAACGTGGGGAACTGCAAGCATGAAATACCAGGGCCCTCATCTACTTCAAATGCAACGGACTCTGCAGCAGGTCATTTGGTTGGCTCCAGACCTCTTTGTAGAACTAGCTTTGGTTCCTCTTGTTACGAGCAGCGCTTAGGAGGCAGCCTTTTGGGCCCTACCACCCCCATAGTCTCTCAGAAGTGCTTTAGTTGTATATTCCAACGCGGACTAAGATGCAGAGAGTTTGAAAGTCTGCCTAGTTCCTTCCTTTCAGCTGCTGGTGAAAGGGACTGGTTTCCCATCCATTCTCTTCCTGTCCCTTGGTAACTTCTAATTAAGGCAATTAACTCAAGGCAGCAACTCTTGAATTAAATGGGAAGCAGTTGAGGAAGGTTTCACCATGTGACCCCGGTCGTTTGCTCTAGTGTTAGCAGATCATTACCTACTGGATGCAGCCTATATTTCTCACTTGTCTAATTGATCTTAGTCTTAGAATTCTTTGTCGAAACACACCGAGACTTGTGCTAGGAAGTGCGGGACCCATAGGCAGAGGGAGGGTTTTGACTTTTTAAAAGTCATCAGGTGTTTGACACATTGAGAGCAATTTCCCAAAAGGAAGGAAGAAGGGAGGGAAGAAAGGAAGGTGGGAAAAGAGGGCAGGAAGAAGAGAGGGAGGGAGTGGGTGGAAGGAAGGAAGGAAGGAAGGAAGGAAGGAAGGAAGGAAGGAAGGAAGAGAAAGAAGGCAGGCAAGGAGGCTCTATTGACCACAGGGGGCCATGAACAAGTGGGCACATTGGTAAGGAGGCACACTGGCAAGAAGCGTCTGTGGGGGAGGGGGGGACAGTTTATAACCCTCAGCCCATTCCTCATTGTGTGTTGGCCCTGGAGCAAAGTGTAGTTGATGTGCAACCAACAGAAACAAACAACAAAGTGATGATCTGCAAGTTTTTATAATGAAGTAGATGTTTTTTAAAAAGATAGGCACACAAGTAACAAAAAGCACAGGGACAAAGTTGGTTGTCCGCTTTGGAAAAGCAAGCTTACGTAGTACTACATTGCAAGGTATCTATACATCTATATCCTGTCGTTTGGGGCATATGATAAGGAGCCCAAAGTTGAGGCTATCTGCGTTGTCGATCTTGCTCACCTTTAAAGGATGCTGCTTTTCAAAGAGCCATGAAAAAGGAATCCCAACGCAATGGGGTCACTGACTAGACAAGCAACCATTCCGGAAGCTCTTCCAGTGTCTGGATTGGCAACTTTGGTGGCACACCATGTGAAGTGAAGAAGGGATGAAGAGAGAGAATATGGGAGCACTTTGGGGAACGTCCATATTTTTTGGCATTCTGACAGACAGCTCTGTTCAACTGGTGTTTTGAGAAAGGCTGTGGGCATGCAGTTCTAATACGTACATTATGTCTGCCAGACTTTACGGGGATTCCTTTGTGATGAACTACTGGTGAGCTGATTGTGCTAGTTGGAATGGGATACCTGGTTTTTCAATGCTGTGACATGGTGTTTGTGCGATCCTGAAAGTGTGTATGTCAACCTCGCACTATCTGGCTGTATTGGACCCCAAGTCCCATTGACCCAAAGCTGGCAGGGGGATCAAGTTGGAAGTCCAAGGCAGCTGGAGGGCACCCAGTTGATGATGGCTGTGTGGCTACAAGATATGACTACATTTGGAATAGTTTTTTCTAGCCTAAATAATCTTGAGCACCTCAAGTGTGACGGACCTTTCATCTAGCTTTCCTCACTTTCTTGGAGGAGAGAGACATCTGCCCATGCCGTTAGTGTGGGCATCACAGAACCATAGAGTTGGAAGAGACCCCAGGGGCCATCCAGTCCAACCCCCTTCTGCCATGTATGAAAAGCACAATGAAAAGTACCTCCGACAGTCAGCTATCCAGCCTCTGCTTAAAATCTTCCACCACACCCCGAGGCAGAGAATTCCACAACTGAACAGCTCTCCTTACATTCAGGAAGTTCTTCCTAATGTTCAGATGGAATCTCCTTTCCTGTAATTTTAACACATTCTTAAGTGCTTCCCAATTCCAGGGTTCCATAGAATGGCACTGTGAAAGCCGAAGTGGAATCATAGTTCTATACTGATGTAGTGTGAGCTTTGAGGATTCTGAGTTTGGGTGACTTGCAGGCAGCAGCAAGACTTTCCACCCCCCAATGCCATTTCCTTCCCTCTTAAATGAGGCAATATGGGGGGGAACCAGGAGCAGACGTTTGTGGAACTGAGGCCATATACGAGCAGATGCTTGGCTGGGGGGAGGGGGGGGCGGTGAAGGAGCTGAGAAGTGGGGGAAGAAGCTCTGCACCCAAAACCGGAGGAACGTCCTCCTTCCCTAGCTTTCATTTCTTGGTCAGAGAGTCTGGTCTTAGAACCAACTTGCTCTGATTTCATTTGGCTCCAGTTTGGGGCCTATGGCTTAGAGTTGCTTTTTAATAAAGAACATAGTCTCAGTGGTAAAGAACATGGCTGAAGTCTTCTTCCTCCTCCCAATGGAGACATTCCTTGGCTTTGACCTGTCTTTAAACCAACTAAACACATCTTTGGCTCTTAAACAAATCAATAAATCCAGACAGAGTAGTAGACAGGACAGACCCTAAGCGGCTTGGGAGAGTCCACACTTTCCTCCTGCTGCTTTTGGTCCCATGACGTGGTGCAAGAAGTTGGAGAAGTTGTTGGCCAGAAGTGCTTTCTAGGGCTGACTTCAAAACGAGATATCAATTTTTGGGATTGGAAGGAAAAGCAGAAGAATTGTGGTTCTTTCTCCTGTCATTCTGCAACCCCCCTCGGGGGTTGAGAAGGGCGGGGTATAAGCACACGAAATAAATAATAAATAAACCAGAATGGTCAAAAATGCACCATCTGATACAAAAATGCAGGACTTGCACACAGAAGGTGGCGTGTAGTGTTGCTTAGCACAACACAGCCCTACTGCTGGGCCTGGCACTTTTTATCCCTCTAAGGAAACCGAGTTGGGCCTCTATGTCTACATTCCCAAATCTGGTCCCTACCAATTACGAAGGGAGGCAACAGGAATGTTCTTGTCCTGCTACATATCAGTCAAGAAAAAACCCCTTGGGATGAGGCTCCAAAGATGATTTTGGCCGTCCTTGGCTACAAAACACCAAAGCTTAGCCCCTGGCAGATGGAGCTAAGTTGGCTTCGGAGTGTTTAGACAAAAAAGATGCAGAAAGGGCACTTGGCCAATTTTTTTAAAAAAAAAAACTTCAAGAGGAAATAAAAGCATTAACCCAAACTGAAAGGAAAAAAAACACCACAAATTGGGACTTGGTTGCCTAGCCTATTTGCCCTCCACATTGGCAGGTTTGAGTTGGCAGATTTTGATTATTTTTCTGTACCTAAAATATTCTCTGTAGGGATCTCTAGGTCAGGCCTGCACAAATTGGGGTTCTCGGGGGGTTTTGGACTTCAGCTCTCAGAATTCCTGGCCATTGGACAGGCTGACAAGGGCTTCTGGGAGTTAGAGGCCCAAACACCTGGTGGGCTGCAGGTTGCACTCTAGGTCCTCCAGTGCAATGCTTTGGTCAACCATTACAGTCATGTTAGAAGACCTAGCGATCCCCATAAAGAACACCTCTGTATGGGGCTCTTTAGGTCTTCCAGTGTGGTTCTATGGTCAACACCCAGTGGACGATGACCACAGAGTTGTGCTGAAGGATTGAGAGATTTCTGGGGAGGTGTTCTCTCAGTTAAAAAACCAACCCAGCATTTTTCTTTGTAGGTTCTTGTGGGTTTTTTCGGGCTATATGGCCATGTTCTAGAGGCATTTTTCCTGACGTTTCGCCTGCATCTATGGCAAGCATCCTCCATAGATTTCGCCATAGATGCAGGCGAAACATCAGGAAAAATGCCTCTAGAACATAGCCATATAGCCCGAAAAAACCCACAAGAACCTAGTGATTCCAGCCATGAAAGCCTTCGACAATACATTTTTCTTTGTGTTTTTCCCACTTTTGTGGGATTCCTGGACTACTAATCTTGGCCAATGTGGAGGGCTGGTTGAGCATTTTGGTTCACACTAGCTTGTCCTCCCATATCGCAATGGTTTCATATCATAGGACCCAAACGACAGAAAGCTACAATTCACGTTGCGTGTTCACACAGACTAAACAGAAGATGGATACGAATGTCGCGCACACACTCGCTCTTCATCCCTGGTACACGGCCTTCTCCATGGCGTCCTCCGCCTTCATGTACTCCAGGTGAGAAGGGTAGTTGGTGCACTCAAAGCGCTCGTGGCTGCGGACGTACTTGAGGAAGTCGGGAGCCCCCGGGTAGATGACGTTGTCGGCCAAAAGGACCGATCCCTTCCGCAGGAGGCCACATTCCTGGAGAGAGAAAGGCGGTCAAATACTTTATTTTACCAAGAATTTGTTTTGCAATTGATTTGTGTTGGTTTTGTTGAGGCTATTTTTTTAAAGGAAAAAGCATTCAAAAATGTAAAGCAGCAACAACAGCAGTAGCAGCAGTTTGGCAGATCAGATCAGTTTGGCAGTGCCCGCAGTAGAGCAATAGAGCTTCAGCAGCAGAGGAGCAGAGTCAAGCTTCATTCAAAGAACTATTTAATGATATAGGAAAGCGAATGGGGGATCTAGCTATCTAACTAAATTCCATCAGACGTCTTGTCTCTCCATGCTCACAGGAGAAGACCAAAAATGATGGACTCAGGAGCTTGCCATGTGCTCAGAAAAAGAGGCTAGTCCCTGAGAAATATGAGTCTAACCAGAATGGTAATAGGAGGATAGAACAGAGTGATAGACAGACAGAGAGGCCAATAGGAGAAGGGCTTTCCCCTGCCAATTAACTCATCTGCCGATCTAAGTCCTTGGTGAAGATTGGTGAGGACTGCAAGGTGTGCAGATGTGATTGACTTCCAACCATTGTTTCATTCATTTTAAGGGGACAGCAACCTGGTCTTCCACAGTCTGGGACACAAAGCAAGTGACACAACATCTGCACATTTTCTCCAAGGCACAAGACTTTCCAAGATTTGAGAACACAGGACCCAGAGCTCCCCTTGTCCATAAACTTACAGGGGATTTTAACACCTTTCCATTTTTCATTCCAAAACAAATGGAAAACAAACAAGTGTAACACAAACTCATTCCTTATTCAGGACTCATTCCTTTGACTCCCACTTCTCTTCATTCCTAAAACAAACCAGGGTCTTTCCCCCAGTTTTCTATGCATTTTGAAAACAAAGGCACACTCCGTTGGAAGCCATGAACCACTTTCGTCCTCTTCTGAGTCCTTCCGCAGAGGGCTGTTCACAATACTGAACAAGGTACAATTTTGAGATAGTCTCTCACTCAAAATTGTCCCTTGTACAGTTCTGTAAACAGCTTCAGACAGGACCCAACTGTGAGACATTGTCTGGAAACCCTCCCAGAACCTTTTTCCAAAGGTTCCTGCCACAGAAAACAAGGGAGTTGTGTGAAATAAAAGACCGAATGATTACGCAGGGGCTGAGATCTTGCATCATCAAACTACGACAGAGTGTTTTCTTCCATATTGCCAAGTTGGCTCCAAGGTTACGAGATTGTAAGTTGGCCGTACGATCTTGCAACTACAGAACAAGGGGGAAAATGTCTTTTGAAGCTTTACACGTTGCATTGGGCTACCTTTTGGGGTAAGCATTGCCAGTGTTTTTACTTTTTAATGGCAACTTCACAACTAGTCATTACTACATATTTTGGCTGTAACAGGTAACCTTGGGAGTTTAAATTGAGCTTTAGTGGGATTTTAAGGAAATGTTCCCCTTCTACACAGAACTCATACATTTCAGGGTTTGCAAATGCACCCGTATTTCCGAGAATATCAACAAGTGTTCTAACAGGACAGCTTTGTTCTGAAAGGCTTGATATGCTCAGATCCAGTGGTTTGGTCCTCGACCTGCTTTGGGACCTCAATTCCCCCAAATGTCACTCAGCCAGCCTGGCCTGCGGAGAAGGTTTCTGGGAGTTGAAGTCCAAAAGATCTGAAGAAACAAAGGTGGAGAAGCCCCACTCTAATTTCTGACCCACAAAGTAAGAAAGTGGCTTTTCTTGGCCAAGGGAGGAGGTCACAGACAAATCCAACATTAAAATATATGGTAACATACAACTCAGTTTTCTAATTACAACCAAAACAGTACCATCCAGACATACACAAGAATGGTAAACATACAGGGGACAGATTTGCAGAATTCAACAAGAATCTCACAGGTGGTGCAAGAAGGAGCCTAAAAAGTTCAGGATTTCCCAGAAGGCATTGCTTCAACTGACCTCGAGAAGGATGGTGTCTGGGGCATATCTGTCCTTCCAGTGGTCCAGAAATACAAAATCCAAGGTGTCCACCTTGTATTTACTCTTCAGCTGAGGGATGATGTCCTGGGCATGGCCCTCAAGGATGGTTACCTGAAGGCAAAATCATCTGTGTTACACCTTGAAAGAACTGCTAGGTCGCAGCCAGTGCTTGGAAAAGTTTCTTTATTTTGGGCAAGGTGCCCTGGGTAAGCCTGGGAGTTGTCTTCCCAAACAGTAATTTTTCCAAACGCTGGTCCCAATGTTGAGAATGACTTCTAATCCCTGCCTCATTCTGTCATGCTGATTCCTGGCTCCAAATGTTTGTTTTCATTTCCCACAAGGTGTAGGGTCACCTTAGGCCTCGTGGGATATTAAAACAGTACCAATGGTCAGCTGATGCTGATTGCAGGAAGGCTGCCCCAATTATGGATGCCAGGAAAGGCTGGATTTTGGTCCTCCGTCCCATCAGCTGGCTCTGTTTCAGAACCAGGCACCAAGTACATCTATTTGCAGCCACTCTGCACTAAGATATTGACTGGCCCTGGCACACACAAACACAAAACCTAAACCCAAAGCTTGCCAAGTTCAGTTGCAATCTTCTAGGGGTTTGCACACACTCTCACTTGGATGCAAAATAAATTAGCTTGGATACTCCTTCCCCAAATGTGATTATAAAAGGGATGACCTTGCTTCTGGGAAAAGGCAATGGAGGCACGCCACCTTCCTTGACAAATGGCAACCCAGAGGCAAACACAACATCTTATTTCACTTATTATAATTTTAATGCCACCTTTCAACCAATATGGAGACGTGGCACAGCAGGTCTGTATGTTTCTCAATGCCGATTTGCCCCTTCATGTAGAAAAAAAGCAGACTTTTCTTGTAGGATATGTCTGAGGATGAAGGGGAGAAACCTCCTCTAAAAATAAACGAAAAGCTGGGGCAAATATGACATCACCATGGCCCAAATCCCACCAGGTTCTCGGTCAAGCCAAACCCACACACCTTATCGCTGAGCCCAGCCAACTCGATCATTTCTTTCGCAATGGGTATGAACTCCGGATTGGATTCAATGGAGAAAAAACGAGCCTTGGGTTTCAAAAGCCGAGCAATCCGGATGGCTGAGTAGCCGCAGTAAGTCCCCAGCTCCAAAGCGGTGGTTGGGTTGGCCTCCTTGACGATTTCATCTAGGATCAGACCTAGAAGACACAAAAAGTTGGGGAGAGAAAGGTTCGGTTATGTCCAATGAGTGATAGGAACTGGTGGAAGCTATTTTTTTCTCAAGGGGAAGGGGTTTGTGGAGAGAAGGCATTTTTCACAACCATCAGGGAACAAAGGTTTAAAAAACAACAACAGAAACTTGAGCTTAAAAACAGAAGGCATTTTGCAGCCCTGGAGCATAGTGAAAATGATCCAAAGTAACAAGCATAAAAACTATGGCACAAGAGCACACGTCACACCTGAGAGAGGAGTGCTCTGGGAGTATATAATACTAAGATTATTATTAATAATAATAGTTACCCACCTCTCCAAACAGCTCAAGGTGGGGCACAACAGAGTCAAAACATACAAACATAAAATACATACAATAAGATACATAGATCAAAACACACCATTATAAAGAACATATACCAAACACAGGGTACAAAAACCAACATACGGTGGCAATAGAATGCAAATTTAAAATTCATGATTCGAGTTGACTGGGTCAGCTTGCCGGAAGAAATGGGTCTTTGGTTATGTTTTAGGTTCTGTGCAGGAGAAGGCCATCGTGTAGGTCACCTGGACCCAAACTATGTAGGGCTTTGAAGGTCAAAACCAACACTTTTTGTATTTTGCCCAGAAACTAATTGGCAGCCAGTGGAGTGACTTTAATATGGGTGTGATATGCTCACTCCTAGATGTTCCTGTAACCAATCTGGCTGCTGGTGTTTTGAACTAACAGGAGTTTCCGAACCTGGTACAGAGGTAACCCAATGTACAGGACATTGTGGAAGTCCAACTTTGAGGTGACCAGCACGTGCCCCACTATCTTTAGGTCCTCTGATTCTAGGAAGGAGCACCCCTGGCACATCAGACAAAGCTTGGAAGAGGACTTCAGATTGAGTCAGCAATTTGTGGGTGTTTTAACAAAGCCAAGTGGATCTAACTCTACAGTTTTCTGCAACAGAATCCAATCTGTTTGTCAAAACGGCAGAACAGATTTCAGAGTATGGGAGAGGGTGAATGAAATGAAGTCATTTCTTTCAAGTCCTCACCTGGTTTTGAAATTAAACTTATCTGTGATATTTTCCAAGATCCCGGTATAGTGCTCCCGTCCAAAATAGAATGAAATAAGTTTGTCAGCACTGGAGGTGACTGCTCCTCAAAAATTTAGAAAGGAAACAATCCAAACCATCTACATGTGGGCTGTTACTATGCCTCAGTCTTGTCATAACCGTAATAATTAATTTCCCAAACAGATACATTTTGAGCAAAAAGATCCTTTTGATCATTTGGAAATTTTATGGAAGGAAGAAATAGAAAATCAATTATGTTGGTTAAAAATAAAAATAAAGCAAGCATTACTACATTAATATTTTCATATTAAAGGTCTGATTAGTACCATTAATGGATGAGATGTTGTCCAAATTCTAAAACGGTTGCTTTTAAAAATGGATTGGCTTCATTCAAACACACTGCTCTAACAACTACTCTTAATGCTTCCCTTACTGTTTGAACTGACATTTCCAGTACTGCGTTGCTGTTGATGTAGTCATGATACTATTTAACCTGTTTGGGAATCTTCCCAATAATAAAGAGTTGGGTTTTTACCTTTCTCATCCCCAACATTCATGGCCCACTCACTCTTGGAGCAGTATGCATCAATGCAGTTCAAAACACTCTCTGGGTCTCCTTTGACGGCATTGTAAGAGACCGAGTTCAGGATCCGCTGCTCTTTGCTCTGATCCATGACAAAGTTGGTGATTCTCTCAAGCACGATTTCGTTCCAAAAGATCTTTGCATGGACGTTATTCCGGAGGAGGACGAAGAGAGCCACCACAAACAGCAGTGAGCCAACGCCAATGGAGACGAGGGCGGTCAGTATCCAGTTATCCAACATCTGATAGGAAAGACAAATGGAAAAGCAGACTATCAGTTAAGGCAGCATCAGAAAAGAAACAGACAAGCCATGAACCACTTTCGTCCTCTTGTGGGTCCTTCCACAGATGGCTGTTCACAAGACTGGACAAGGTACAATTTTGAGATAGTCTCTCACTCAAAATTGTCCCTTCTACAGTTCCGTAAACAGCTTCAGAAGGGACCCAACTGTGAGACATTGTCTGGGAACCTTCCCAGAATTCCCTGCTGCCTTTTTCCAAAGGTTCCTGCCACAGAAAACAAGGGAGTTGTGTGAAATAAAAGACCAAATAATTACGCAGGGGCTGAGATCTTACATCATCAAACTACGACAAAGAGTGTTTTCTTCCATATTGCCAAGTTGGCCCCAAAGTTACGAGATTGTAAGTTGGCCATACGATCTTGCAACTACAGAACAAGGGGGAAAATGTCTTTTGAAGCTTTACACGTTGCATTGGGCTACCTTTTGGGGTAAGCATTACCAGTGTTTTTACTTCTAAACGGCAACTTCACAACTAGTCATTACTACATATTTTGTCTGTAACAGGTAACCTTGGGAATTTAAATTGAGCTTTGGTGGGATTTTAAGGATATGTTCCCCTTCTACACAGCACTCATACATTTCAGGGTTTGCAAATGTCATGTGGTAGGTACAAAGAACATTGCAAGAAGGGGATTAGGTATACGGACCTTCCCCTGACCTGGAACCCATGAAATGCGTTGGATTACAAGGCCTGGCACTGGATATTGGGAAGTGCAGTCATGCACCACAAGCAAGCTCCAGTTTGGAGAAAAGCTGGGTTAAAGAACATCCCAAGTAACCTTGTGTGTTCTTGCCTCTCCCCCACCCCATTTTTTTTTAAGATTGCTTAATAAAGCAACACATTGCCCTTTGTTTCCAAAGTGTCACAGATAACACTCCTCTGGCCTAATCTCTAGAAAGCAGAGTCCCATTTAGCTTGCTCCAAAGTCACCACTGAGCTGCAAAGCTAGCAAAGAAAACTTGCTTTCTGCTTTCCTTCTTCAAAGGCGGCTTGGACAAAACTGGTTTTCTTCAAGGCAGAGAAAACAACAAAACGGACCCCGCATGCGGGTTGATCGCACCTCCCTTACCTTCTCTTATAGGGAAAAAAGACAACTGGGAGAGGATTAATTGTCCTTGTGCTCCAGCCAAATTCCTGAACGTTAGACAAAGGGAAAGCAGGCATGAGAAAGCCAGCGGTTGGAACAATGGAGTGCCTTGTCGTTCCCACACGACGGGATGGGTTTGGCACTTTGCTACGAGCATCTGACCAAGTTGGGCCTATTGTTTGCAGGAAAATCGAGTCACAATGTTATTTGGGCCCTTTCTTTTTGTCTCTTTACATACTATCATTAAATAATCTTATTGGTTTGTATGGTTTTTAATGCCTTCTTTAAGCAGACGACCCTCAGCTGTATTTCTCTACTCCAGATCTCTCTTCTGGCATTGTACTGCAACATGTCTCCAACGAAGGCTTATCGCACTAGAGAAAAAATCCACTTAAAATCTGGTTTCTGCCTCCTACAGAATTCTGGGGTTTGTAGTTTAGGGAGGAGCCTTTAACAGCTTCACTAAACTACAAACCCCAGAATTCTACAGGAGGCAAAACCGGATTTTAAGTGTTTCTTTTTTTCTGTAGTGTGATGAAGTGGCAAGTTATTTCAGTAGATGCTTGATAGCCACCAAAACGTTAACATGCCCAAGGCAGAAAATACAGCATTTCTTTTTCTTCCCAAATCGTCTTTACAACCTTCTCCATCACTGTTAACAACGTGCTCACTGGCTCTCTGAAGGAAGTATGCAGTCTTGGCTTTATTTTGGACTCTTCTTAGTCCTTTGCATCTTACACGGAGGTTGGAGCAAAGTCACGTTGATTTTTTGTCTTTATAAGGCTGCCAAAATCAAGGCTTTTCTTTCTGCTTCCTCTGCTGAGACTAGTTCACGGCTTGCTCATTTCCTGCCTTGATTATTGATATCTTCTTTTGACTGGTCTTCTGTCATCTCATTGCGGCCCACTGGTTTCTGGTTTTCATTCCTGAGTATCTTTCTGGACTGTCATTTTGATCATGTCATGCCCTGTTTGATATCTCTTCGTTGGTTACCCAATTCTTCAAAGATTCAATACAAATTTCGTGTTTTGACATTCAATCCCTACAAAACCGAGCTCTCCCTTATCTTTCCATCTTTATTTCTTTTGACCAGCCTGCAATTTAGGGAAGTCTAGGCTTCTCACCAAACCAAGCGTTTTCTCTTCCTCGGCTTGGCTTCATCCTTCTTCTCCTGAACATTTATGGACTGCTCCTTCCTTCAAGATTTTTAAATCTCATTTCAAAGTTTTGTTTTCCAAAACTTTTGGAATTTTAATCTTAGACTCTTGTACATTTCGACTATGTGTATCAGTCTGCTTTATATTGCATTTTTTAAATATATATATATATATATATATATATATATATATATATATATCAATGATTTGCTTTACAATGGGGAACCTTCTTGCAGCAACACCAGAAGCACTCCAGAAGTGGCCAGCTACTGGTCAAAGGACATTTAATCAACTACCAAACTCACAAATTTTGTATTTTTTCTGTTTGTTTGCTTTGTTCTGTTAGAAATGTAATCTAATTGACTGGTTGCCCTGACACGACAAATAAATAAAAAATTGCTTTACAACTGCCACTGTATAGTTTCATATTTTTTTATTCCTTCCTTCCTTTTCTCTATGTGTGTACACATATGTTTTAGATGGTATTTCACTGACAGGACCCACTGGTTTGTTTTACTTGTAAAGTGTGTGTATGTTGATAAATGATAAAGAATACAGAAACCAAGACAATTTGCACTTATTGTGCTAGCTATTTAAGACTTTTGCAATAAAATCTTTAAAAAGAGGGAGGGGGGGAGTCCATGCTTCCTCCGCATACTAAATCCTCTTACTGCAACCGGGATGTGAATTGACATCTCACTATATCATCATATGATATCATGTAATGACTGCCTGATGTAAGGCATCCTGAGTCTCTCTTCGGAGGTGGGGAGGATGGGATAGAAATGCCCAAAATATATAAATAAATATTCCATCAAAACTAAGGTGTATTTTTTTTCCATTTAGGTTAAGTTAAAGGTTTTCCCCTGACATTAAGTCCAGTCGAGTCTGACTCTGGGGGTTGGTGCTCTTCCCCATTTCTAAGCCGAAGAGCCAGCATTGTCCATAGACACCTCCAAAGTCATGTGGCTGGCATGACTGCATGGAATGCCATTACCTTCCCGCCAGAGAAGCACCTGCTGATCTACTCACATTTGCATGTTTTCAAACTCCTGGGTTGGCAGAAGCTGGGGCTAACAGCGGGAACTCATGCCACTCCCAATTCGAACCTGTGACCTTTCGATCAGCAAGTTCAGCAGCTCAGCTCTTTAACCCGCTGTGCCTTAGACTCAATGGTGCCTTACATTTGCTAGTTTTAGGGTGTTTATTTTAGAAATATTACCTCTAAGAGAGGAGGAGGAAGAGGAGCTTCTGCCCCAATGGCTCTGCCAGACCCCCACCCTTTTGTCCTTAACTCCAGCCAGATGGCTATTTCCTGGTATTTTAGCTAAGCACTGACTCCTGCTTCCACTGCCTTCCAAAAATGGGCCCATAGATTGCAAGATACACTCATGCAGACAAGATGGCTTTTACGTTTCTCCCCCCTTGCCCCACAGGAAAGACTGCACCATAAAACTGCAATGAAACTAAAAGAAAGGTGTTGTGTATGTAGAGGAAATTCTAAAAAATACTGCAAGAAAATGGTTTTTTTTCCTTCCAAAACTGAAATGTAGCCGGAAATGTACTAAGCCAGCTCTAGGTTTGAGGAAGGGGAAAGGAGTGTTTGTATATGGTCCTGTTAATGGAGAGAAGAGATGGGAAATGTGCAGCTAGTGGGATGCAACCCCCCCCCCCCCCCCCCCCGCACTAGCATTAGCCAGCATCATCAATGAGAGCCAACAGAAGGTAGAGGCTAAAATGCTGGACCAAGTCTTGGGCAACCCAATTTCCAGTCCTGCAAGTCACAAAAACTCTTGGGCCAGTAGCCTGCCTCGCAGAGTTAAGAGAAGAACCGGGCACAGCTGCAATCTTGACCTCACTGGACAAAAGGCAAGCTGTAAATGTTCCTATTCGGAGGAACACAAGCTCCCCATAAGCTAGACCTAGCTGTGCCAGCCATCCATGGAATCTTAAGAAAACGGTGCCCCCGGGCACTGCATGGATCCTATTTAAACCCGGCTGGCAGCCGCAAGATATTCAGTACTAGCGTGCTTTGTGCTGGGTGTTTGGTGGGAGGAGTGAGGAGGTGGAAAAATCCCGCCTTCCTCTCCCTTTTAACTTCTGATCATTTATGCAGGACGCGTGTGGAAATGGGGGAAATGCTTCAGGTTGCCAAGGAGACTGCCTCCACTCAGCACTCTGGGTGTTTGATCACCCATCTATTTATTGCAGCAAAGAGAATGCTTTTCCAGAACTTCCAAGCACCTCGTGATTTGCCCCCTGCACAGACACCAAAGTGCCAAAGACACCAAAGTTCTCCTTTCCTTCTTGGTGGAAAGCAGACGTCTCCCTTAGAGGAAAACCGGCTCACCATATGCCCAGATGTCTGCATTCATGGGTTCAGCCACCACCCATGGCTTCAAAATATTTTCCCCAAAATGTATTTATGTATTTACCACACTTATATCCAGCCCTTCTCACCCTGAAGGGGACTCAGGGTGGCTTACAACAGAGGCACAATTCGATGGCTTGAGTACATATAAAAATAAAACAACATATACATCAAAATTGGGAGCCCCTGGTGGCACAGTGGGTTAAAGCACTGAGTTGCTAAACTTGCTGATCGAAAGGTCACAGGTTTGAATCCGGGGAGTGGCATAAGCTCCCGCTGTTAGCCCCAGCTTCTGCCAACCTAGCAGTTCGAAAACATGCAAAT